GCCCTCCCAGATGTTGTGGTGTGTCAGATGCCCTCCCAGATGTTGTGGTGTGTGTGGATAAACACGGCAGGAGAATGGACCTTGTCACTTATAGAAACAATCAGGGGAAAAAAAAAACATTTCTGGATATGTGGAGGACACGGTCTCTTTCTCCGTGTGACAGAGGGACATGTGTTTGAGACTCGCTCGAGGCTCTAGTCTGGACCTGGAGCAGACCTCAGGACAGACTGGACCAGACTCTAATTTGACTGAACATTCTGCACTGCTAAACGTTTTTGTATATTTATGGAGAATTGTCGTGTGGGAGCATGGGTGACGTAGACTTGTGGGTGGAGCATTGGACAGAATCTTACGGCTGGTGTAAGGAGGGTTTGAATAGGGAGAGATCCAGCGCCGATGTCTGCGGGATCCAGATGGCTGCCTGCCTACACTGGGTTATTTCCACACCCCCACCCTACCCAGTTCCTAGTCCTGTGGAAATGTTTGTACTGTGCTTTGACTCTCTGCTCATGTCGCGGAGGTGTTGTTGTTTTATTGTGTACTCTGCCATACTATGCTCCAATAGGTGCATGGTCTGGGGGTGTTCCTCTTTTTTTTTTTCCTCCTCCCCATATCCTCATGTTTGCTGCATTGTTTATTCATATTTTCTCCCTGTGTCCTGGTCTGGTCCTTATCTAGTTTCCCCATGTCATATTGGATTGTGTGTTTGTAATGTACAGACAGGGTAACAGGTCCAATTTTGATTCCTTTGTATGTTCAGTACATGTGAAGAAATTGGCAATAAAGGCCATTATTCATTCAGTAGATTACTCACACATGTATGGATGACATTTCAAATCTCTTCAGGCATGGACTTGATGAAGGAACAAAGTTATAACATGGTGGAAAGCTAAAGAAAAAGAATGATTTTGCATAAATAATACCACCTCTTTAAAGACACACCATGTTACTTTTCCCGTGTAGAGTCCACCACCTGCTTGTTTCTGTGGAGATGGTATTGCAATATTCCACAATATGGCATTAAACATATCTAGCTAATATCTATTTATCTGCCAGTACAGGGGTTTTATTGCTCAAACTTGAAAAACATGTATTTGTTCTGATACAGCTCAAGATCATTCTAAAGCTATTCAAGTAAAGGTTCATTTCTGTCCTGTGATTGTGACTTTTTTAGTCTTGATACTTGTGAAAAATGAAAATCCAGTTTTGATACTAGGTTTAGTATCGATTAGCATCAGATTTTTGATTCTTTTGACAACCCTTGAACAAACACTACTTCTGCTATTACTGTGTTTAGAAGTAAAAATCACATTAGTGACTTTAGCCCCCCCTGCAGTTTGATGTGGTCTTGCTAATGTCCGTCAGTGCTCCTTTAATGACTCCCATAAAGCTGCATTGATCTCACTTCCAGTCTGTGTAAGTTTAAATATATAGTCTGTCTGTATCCGAGTGCGAGTCAAAGTGCCTCTGACTGCCTCTGATCTCTGCTTTGGGCAAATACACTTTTATCAGCTTCATCTGAACGCCACAGCTCAAAACAAGGACTTTTTCATTTGGTTTAAAGGATGCTTTGATACTTTGAAGCTGATGTCATCAACTTTCCCAGGGGTGTGAAGCTAACTGGAGGCACTGCTCTGTCTGAAGCTCTGTTAGACTTTAATCTGAGTTTTATTTCAACACAATCTGACCATGAGGAACTTCACTGGAGCTACAACAGATGAGCAGATTTGTGCTGTGAAACAAGTCCCTCAAATTACACATTGCAAACTAGCTAGCATTAACCAACAGTTTTTCAGTGTTCAGTCACTTTCACCTTTTTGCTGCAAGTCATGTTCGTGTTCACGTTCACATTCATGTTCATCTTTATGTTCATGTTCATGTTCATGTTTATGTAAGGCTGTGCAATTCATTGAATTTTGATCGCGATTTCCATTTGTGTAACAAACTCACATAATTGAGTTGAAATGATTTACAAAGTTTATTTTGGGATACACATACAAGCTACATACTTTATGTGTAGCATCTATATTTATTTTCAATTTGAAAGTTTTGTGTAAATAATCAATAACAAAACGTTTTTGTTTTTTTAGAGAGAGAAATGCTAAATAAATGCATCATGTAACTAAAAACTAATCATATGAGTAATCGTGATTTCAATATTGACCAAAATAATTGTGATAATGATTTTTTTTTCCTTAATCGAACAGCTCTATGTTCATGTGTTTTGATTTGGTCAATGTTTAACTCATTACAGTCTACATACATTATATTCAATCTGATGTCATAAAATAAAATATATTCAGTGTAGAACAATCAAATGAAACACTGAGTAAGTCAGTGAGCAGGTGTAGGCAGAAGCTGAAGCTTATTGTGCCTCCGCTTATCTCCAACTACAGCACGTTCATGGACTTTCATCTCAAAATTAATATGACATTAATACGTCATCATAATGAAAAATCAACAATTATTCTAATTATAAAAATATCTACTAACGTTATTCTTTCACATATTTTTCTGTTGCTATTCTCTTAAAAGTTATTTTGAATTAAAAAAGAGAATTGGTTTGTTTTAGTTGCTTGACAGTTGCTCGTTTGCTTGATAAACAGTGTGCAGCCTGTGGAACACACATGTACCTCTTAGATTATATTTACTGTCTCTCTGAGTGAACACTGCCTGCAAAGAAAGAGCAATTTGATAGGACATTTGATAGGATGAACAATGAGTTCTGGGTGCATGGTTCAAGAGTCTAATGGCTTTTTTTGCAGTAGAAGGACTGGATTAGTTTTAGATTTATATGTGTTTCCCCAAATTTCAAGGCCATATTCTTCATTCAACATTCTAGGTAAGGTGTGATGAGAGAACAATAAAGTTGATGCAATGCATTTTTATTCAGAATATACCGTCATTTATTTATTTATTTCTTCTGTTGTATGGAGTGTGTTTACATGCACATCAGTATCCCGGTTATTCTCCATATCCCGGTTCTGTCAGTGTTCGTGTTACTGTGTTTACATGCGCACTGAGAAACCGGGACACTCATATCCCCGTATACATGATCAAATGGAGTATCCCGGTTTCTTGACATAATCTTACAAATGCGCAATCACAAAAATGTACTTAAATCAATTTAATAAACCAGGAAAAATACAAACCGTGAGCTCCTTTAGCATAAGAAGCTAAGGAGCTACGAGATCTCCCACAATCCACTGCACACATCAAACCAACAGATTCTTCATTAAAATCTTCTGCATAAATAAACTCAACTTTACAACATATAAACCATAACCACTGTAGAGCCACATCAGCCCGTTTGATCAGATCATTCAGCTCTGATCACATTTGTTTACGTTTTACAGAAACGAGACTTAAGACCGCATCGCTAATTAGCATAAACTGTGTTGATAAAAACAGCTGCTCCTTGTGCCGCTGATGTGGTTCAGCTTCTTTTGGACTAAATGACACGACTCAGTGGATTATGTGTGTTCTTTTTGTGACAGAAGAGGTGTTAATGGTGGTAAGTTTGTTCTGTTCGTATACAGTACAGGAGATAGTTCATGTTTTAGCTTTTCAGTGATCACACGAGTGCACGTTATACGAGTGCAGATTGTACATGTGCAGGTTTAGCGCAGCTACATTTTACTCATGTGGTCACTTTATTTATGTTGGTCAGTTTATTTATGTCGCTACTGTTGTGGTGAAAAGACTGGAAAGTGGGCGGCAGTAGCTCAGTTGGTAGAGCATTCACCCACTGATCTGAAGGTCGGCGGTTTGAATCCCACTCTCAACATGAACATCACAGGTTGAGCGGTCAGATCCACTGACCCACAGGTTGGCTGGTGTGATTCTAGCTCCCACAGATGAATGCTGCTGTTGTGTCCTTGGGCAAGACACTTAACCCACCTTGCCCACAGTGTCTGCATACACTGGTGTGTGAATGAGTGAGTGGTTCCTTGTTGTAAAGTGCCTTGAAGGTGGAAAAGCGCTATAGAAAAATGTGACCATTTACCAAGTGTGCACTGTTGCAGTAACCGGGTACTGCGTTTACATGCCACAAGTATCCCGGTTACTATCAGAATAAACCAGCTGCAGTAACCCGGTTTCTAATAACCGAGATACTGAAACCGGGTTATTGCGTTACCGGGTTACATGCACCATGAAGAAACCGGGATACTCAAAAAACCCGATCATAACCAGGTTATTGATGTGCATGTATACGCACTCCATGTAATCACTCCAAGAAATGTGATATAATGTACCTTTTCTATTTCATGTTCATTCATTTGAATTTAATATCATTCTCTTATTTTGTTATTACTAAATATCAGAAATTTCATTTTGTCAAGATTTACTGATCATTTATTTAAATCAAACCAACCAAAAAACACCTAAACAGGACTGTGAACACTTTTAATCATCACAGGCTCCTGAAAATGTACTGTTTAAATCCATTTAGCATTTTTTCTTGAGGTTTGAGGTTTGAGTGTTTGCGTGATTCTGTATTTTCCTACATTTGAGACGTCAGAGTTCAGAAAATTACTATTTGTTCATCTCAAGTCCCCACCTGCATCTCTCTTCTTACTGATAAATCCAAATTTAATTAGGTTTAGTAACAGTGACTCAGTGGGTAGAGCACTCGTCCACAAGTAAGAAGGTCAGAGGTTTGATTCCCGCTCAGACCAGATTCACAGATTGGCAGCCTCGTCTCCATCAGTCTGTCCCAGGGCAGCTGTGGCTATTTGCTTACATTACTGAGTGTGAAGTCAATGAATAATTCCAATGTAGAGTTTTGAGAAGCTTCGAGAAACCTGTTAATCACTTGGAGGGTCACTTGCTTGTCTCAGTGGAAATAGGTAGGGTTAATGCCATATTGTGGAACATTCTAGGCAAACTTGTAGTATCACCATGGAGACAAGCAGCAGGTGGCAGACCCTCCATGAGACAAGTGTTGCGTTGCAGCTTTAGGACGTTCTTTGAGCTGTTGTGTGTGTTGTCTTCCGCAGAGACGAGCTTCCTGTTGGGGAACGCTCAGATCGTGGAGTGGCCCGTCGTCTATAGCAACGATGGATTCTGTAAACTGTCGGGGTTCCACAGGGCAGAGGTCATGCAGAAGAGCTCCACCTGCAGGTACAAGCACGCAACTGCAACACACAAACTGTAACATCAACTGACAGGACTGAACCAGAAATAAACCAGGACTAAACCAGAAATAAACCAGGACTGAACTAGAAATAACCAGGACTGAACCAGGATTGAACCAGGACTGAACCAGGATTAAATCTGAATAAACCAGAGCTAAACCAGGACTAAACAAGGACTAAACTAGGGCTAAACCAGAACTAAACCAGGATTGAACCAGGACTGAACCAGGACTAAACAGGGACTAAACCAGGGCTGAATCAGGACTAAACCAGTACTAAATCAGGACTGAACCAGAACAAAACTAAGGCTCTAATTGAGCTAAACCTATAGTAAATCAGGTTTAAGACAGGACTAAACAAATCTACATCAGGTCTAACCGAACACTAACTAGGACAAAATCAGGACCAAGGCAGCACTAAACCAAAATTACACAAGGACTTAATTAAGACTATAGGACCAAAACAAGAACTGTGTAGATTGTTCTACAAATGTACAAATATAGAATCACTTTTTGTCGCTAACTTCCCCAAAATTTAAATAAAACAATAGTACTTTTGTCGTGTGGGATTCTGAGGCTGTTTCGGCGACACTTTTATGAATTCCACTTGAAATGGTGCCATTAAAAACACATTATGCTGAAATGGGGCCTGAGGCACAATCTGTGAGTAACTGAATACACTGTCATATGTGATGTATGTGAGTCTGCACTGAGGCAAGGCTCTGTTTAATAAGACCAAGTCAAAATCACAATTAAACCAAATGTGGGAAAAACACATTCAGTTTTCATTTCACCCAGTCGTAATTTATTTGTTTATTTTTTATAATGATAATAAAATTGTCATTATTGTATTTAGCTTTGTTGATACTTTTGTATTTGTTTATTGTTGTAAAGTGAAGTTGAGTGTCCAGAAAGGCGCCTCATAAATAAATGTGTTTATTCAAGAGGAGGTATTTTACTGCTATGGGGTATAAACCAGTGGCGGAGCGTGCATTTAACACCTAGGCCTTCAGTAATGCTCTGTCTGTAACAATCCACTCCTCAATAACTATTTTATGGTTATAAAAGTATCTTATTATACAGAAACACAGTATAAAGAGCCGTGGAGATTCTGTGCATGGAGAAGTGAGGAGGGGGGGTGTGCGGTGCACGAAAAAGAAGTGAAGAGCGACGGGGTGCTAAACCAGGACTAAACCAGAACTAAAGCAGAACTAAACCAGGACTGTTTGTCGGGACTGGCCTGAAGGTGCGCCCACAGTCTACATGGGCTACTGTCGGATGACCGCAGACGAAAGGGCTGCGCCGGGGCCAGTGCTCCGAGCTGCACGGGGCTCAGTGCAGCTGTCGCCCGATTGCGCTTTGCAGATACTCTCTCTCTTGCTCTCTCTCTCACTCAAGTCCAGTTTAGGTTTAGTCCTGGTTCTGCTACAGATACAGTTTGCTGCTTTGGCTGGTTCACTCTCTGACTGTCCAATCACTGGTGAATCCGGTGACGTCTTGCGCCTGCTAGAAGGCCCTGGTGATACCAACTCAAAATCTGATTGGGAAGCAACAGTTTCATGGACATTTATTTTGTGTTCAAGAGCCTGCAGAGCAGATTGTGAAGGCCTCAGGGACACTTCTTTGACTTTGACTCTGCCTAGCATCAAGTGACGGCTGAAATGTGATTGGTCAAATGCTTTAATATGAAAATACATGTGTGGAAGCAGCACAAGCATCAGAAAAGCCCTGGAAGCGGACAGACCATTTGGAATTATTTAATAATAATATAATTAACATCAGTCTGTGATTCAGATATTGTTTTAGGCCAGCAGAGAAGGCCCACCACTGGTATAAACTGCTAACCCATAACATATTTAGATCACCATGTTACCTTTTATTGTTTTGAAAATGTTATATTTACCGAAAAACAACATAGTAACATGTATTATAAGTTTGACTTTTATATGATTTTTAATTCTCTGAGTCTTGTTCTTGTTTACTGTGTCCTAAGTGTAATTTCTCACCTGTTTTGTTTTCACCTGTTTCTTTCTCCTCAGCTTCATGTACGGCGAACTCACCGATAAAAAGACCATTGACAAAGTGCGTGAGGCGTTTGATAACTACGAGTCCGACTGCTTTGAGATCCTGCTGTACCGAAAGAACCGTGAGTCACTCCTCTGTGTCTGTGGGACGAGTTCAGACTGAAAAAGCTGCATTGTGTAACTTTTCAAGTGGAGGGTCTGTCAGACACTTTTCTCCATGGAGATATTAGATGCTGGAATGTTTCACAGTATGGCATTAAAGCTTTTTATCTTCATGCAGACCAAACCAGACCAAGTTACAGGTCAGGTCTATGGAGAGGCGACCCCGCTCACAGTCAGAATGTCTGTTTTCGAGGCATTTTTTCAGCTGTAAAACCACCTGTAACTGAATAAATGTTAAGTAGGGCTGTTTAATGTCATACTGTGGAACATTTCAGGCAGAGCAATGATGTATCCATAGAAACAAGCAGGTGATGGACCCCCAAGCACAAAGTTAAACAGTGTACCTTTTAAATAAATCAAATCAATTTAAGGGCCAATATTACATTTATATTATATTATATTAGTTCTTCTGTCAAACTGAAAACGCTCTGTTCCACCTTGTGATGTCATGTGGTTATACAGAAATGCTCCACTGTTTTTTTAAGATCCACACACCTTCACTAGAATCATTTGGGTCATTTCAGCCCTGGAATTCCTGACATCTGAAAAAAGTAAAAGTCGCTGTGAACTTGAATACTACCACTACATGACATCACGAGGTGGAACAGAGCATTTTGAGCTTTGGGGATGCAGACAGACTAATACACTAGGATTACTCAAACGTGTGAATGAAACAAAACACAACACTGGGTCTGTTTTAAAACTACAGGACACAGTTGAAGATAAAACAAACACAATTTAACGAGTGTGTTATTTCAGCACCATGGACAGCTCCACCGAGAAGGGTTGAGAGTTTTGGGTGTTGAAGGGCCCATTTCATGCAAAATCAACTTTTCAGAGCTTTCTACCTTCTAAGAGTGATGTGTGGGCCTTGTATATGTCACTGAAGTGGTTTTTTGATTGATTCGGTGTGTTTTTTTTTAAACAAATTGCAGCGTATTTCTGCCACCCTCCCACGTGACAACGAACTAAAGCTGCTCCAACGATGACGCGGCAGCTACACCTTTGACGCGTTTGACGTAGCAGAAAACGCTTCACAACATGGGCAGGTTTTGTTATGTATTTGGTTGTTCTAGACGCTCTGAACGGGATAAAACAAATCGTTTCTTCACTATTCCTCTGGAAATTACTCATCAGGAGCTCAAACAAGGGAATTATCGAAAAAAAGACGCGGATTACGACTAGCAAAAATAAACCACGAAGAGATTTCCTATTGTACCATCAAGACACATGAAGTTTCATCAAGATATTTGCTATTTAAATTGTTTCATACTTTATTTAATGAAAGAAGCACATTTACTGAACTAAAATTTCATTAATTTATCCAGAAAAACCCACACTAGTTTATGATTCAACGAACCCACTTTGGACTCTTATGATCAACATGATGAACCTCGAAAGAAACGGCCATGAAAAGATCCTTGCGAACGTTAGAAAGATCTGCTCGCAAAAAGTGATTAATTCTATAAGACATAGTTGTGGTAATAAAAAGAAACAAGGGTCCCACGATGAGTGACATGTTTATATGTGCGCTGGAAGATGCAGTTTCTACTGCCACTCACACTGCAAATGTTTTCTTTTTACATTTTAGTTCAGTAAATGTGCTTCTCTCATTAAATAAACTATGAAACTATTTAAATAGCAAATACCTTGATGAAAGTGACGTGAGTGTGTCTTGATGGGACCATAGGAAATCTCTTCGTGGTTTATGTTCTCTAGACATAATTCCCGTTTTTTTTTTTTTTTTTCCGATAATTCCCTTGTTTGATCCTGATGAGTCATTTCCAGAGGAACAGTGAAGAAACGAATCATTTTATCCCTCTCAGAGAATCTAGAACAACCAAATACACAACAAAACCTGCCCATGTTTCTCTGATGCTGCTGAAGTCAATGACATAGTGTTGCCTGGTGTCATGGCGGCGTAGGTACCGTTGCTATAGGGGTCACATGACGGTGCAAAGCCTCTATAGTGTAATGGATGTTCCAAAACCCAAATAGTGCTTGTTTATGTGCAGAAGATACAACGTGAAAGAGTTATTTTGCATCAGATGGACCCTTTAAAAATTCACTCTCTTCTCTTATGTAATCAAAGCAACCTAATTACTCACTACGATGGATTTATAAGCATTTTGAGAGACCAAAGCTGCTGACGGTGGGCCTGCTTTGTGGCTGATAATGCTTTTAATTAAGACGCAGCTAGCTCCCAGTCACACATACATTTAATGAAATATTCAAACTGTAAACAATAAATCCTTCCAAACATGTCTGAAATACTCCCATCAAAAGGTTAAATTCTGAATTTAAACAATTTAAAGTTTTTGAGACAGCAGCTCCCACTCTCCCCCTCTCAAAGCTGCTCTTCTCTCTGTCTTTTCACCCGTTCTCTCTCTCCTTTGTCATTATCTCCGTATAATTCTTACCCCAAGCTGTTCCCTCCCTTTCTCTCTCTTTCCCTCCTTCTTTCTCTCTTTTTCTCTGTCCACCTGTTTATCTTTACTCTCTTTGTGTCCCTCTTCTGCTCTTCCCCTCTCTCTTTCTTTTCACGATCTTTCTTTCACTCCCTTCTTCCACATTTTCTGTGTGTCGGTCTCTTTCTTTCTGCCCCTGCTCTTGTCCATTCTTTCCCTCTTTGTCTTTGTTCTCTCTTTCCCTCCTCTTCGTCTTTCTGTCTTTCTTCTGCTCACCTGTTTATCTCTCTCTTTCTGTCCCTTTTCACTCTTCCCTCTCTCCTTCCCGCTCTCTCTGCCTTTCACTCCCTTCTCTCCATTTTCTATCTCTCTGTTTCTTTCTTTCTACTCCTGCTTCCTCTCTTTCTCTCCTCTCCCTTTTTTGTCCGTCCTCTGTTCTTCTCCTCTCTATTTCTTTTCACTTTCCCCCCTCCTCACTCTCTTTCTCTCTCATTCTCACCCTCTCTTTCTTTCCCTCCCTTCGCTCCCATTTTCTATCTCCTGTCTTTTTCTTTCTGTCCCTGCTCTATCAAATTCTCTCATTCTCTCCCTCTCTTTGTCCTCTCTCTTTCTCTCCTCTCCTTTTCTCACTCTCCCTCTTTCTGTCGCTCTCTTTCCTCTGCCCACCTGTTTATCTCTCTCTCTCTGTCCCTTCTCTGCTCTTCCCGTCTTTCTTTTCACTCTTCCCTCTCTCTCTTCTCTCTTTCATTCTGCTCCTGCTTCCTCTCTTTCCCTCGTCTCTCTTTTTTGTCCCTCTTCTTCTCTTCTCCTCTATTTCTTTTCACTTATCCCTCTCTCTCTCTCTGTCTTTCTGTCTTTTTCTTTCTCTTGCTCTATCTTCTCTCCTCTCTCTCTCTCTCTCTCTCTCTCTCTCTCTCTTTCTCCCTCTTTATCTCACTCTCTTTCCTCTGCTCACCTGTTCTCATCTCTCTCTTTCTGTCTCTTCTCCCTTCCCTCTCTCTCTCTGTCTCTCTCTCCTTCTCACTCTCTCTTTTTTCTTTTACCCCCTTCTCTATCCAATTCTCTCATTCTTTCCTTTGTCTCCCTTTCTCTCTCTCTCTCTCTCTCTCTCTCTTTCTCTCTCTTCTCTTTCCTCTGCCCACCTGTTTATCTCTCTCTTTATGTCCTTTCTCTGCTCTTTCACTTTCTCGCTCTCTTCTTCTCACCCTTTCTTTCTTTCACTCCTTTCTCTCCCATTTTCTATCTCTCTGTCTCTTTCTTTCTGCTTCTGCTCCTTCTCTTTGTCCTCTCTCTTTCTATCCTTCCTCTGCTCTTCCCCTCTCTCTTTCTTTTCACCTGCTCTCTCTCTCTCTCTCTGTCTCTCTCTTCACTCACTCTCTCTTTCACCCCCTTCTCCCACATTTTCTATCTCTCTGTCTCTTTCTTCTACCCTGTCCCTCTCTTTGTCCTCTCTCTTTCTCTCCTCTCTCTTTCTATCTCCCCTCTGCTCTTCCCCTCTCTCTTTCTTTTCACTCTTCCCTCTCTCTGTCTGTGTTTCTCCTTCTCACTCTCTCTGTCTCTCTCCCTCTCCTTCTCACCCTTTATGTCTTTTCCTCCCTTCTCTCCCACTTTCTATCTCTCTGTCTTTTTTTCTGTTCATTCTCTATCAAATTCTCTCATTCTCTCCCTCTCTTTGTCCTCTCTCTTTCTCTCCTCTCCCTTTCTTTCTCTCTCCCTCTTTAGCTCATTCTCTTTCCTCTGCCCACCTGTTTATCTCTCAATTTCTGTCCATCCTCTGCTCTTCCCCTCTCTCTTTTTCACCCTTCAATCTCTCTCTCTCTCTCTCTCTCCTCACTCACTCTCTCTTTCGCCCCCTTCTCCCACATTTTTTATCACTCTGTCTCTTTTTTTCTACCCCCTCCCTCTCTTTGTCCTCTCTTTCTCTTCTCTCTCTTTCTATCCCTCCTTTGCTCTTCCGCTCTTTCTCTCTCCTCGCACTATTTCTTTCTCCCTCTTCTCCCACGTTTTCTCTCCGTCTCTTTCTTTCTGTCCCTGCTCTATCCAATTCTCTCATTCTCTCCCTCCTCTCCCTCTTTTTTGCTCTCTCTTTCCTCTGCCCACCTGTTTACCTTTCTCTCTTTATGTCCTTTCTCTGCTCTTTCACTTTCTCGCTCTCTTTCTTCTCACCCTTTCTTTCTTTTGCTCCCTTCTCTCTCATTTTCTATCTCTTAGTCTCTTTCTTTCTCATCCTGCTCCCTCTCTTTGTCCTCTCTCTTTCTCCTCTCTCTTTCTATCCCTCCTTTGCTCTTCCGCTCTTTCTCTCTCCTCACACTATTTCTTTCTCCCTCTTCTCCCACGTTTTCTCTCCGTCTCTTTCTTTCCGTCCCCGCTCTATCCAATTCTCTCCCTCTCTCTTTCTCTCCTCACTCTTCCCTCTCTCTCGCTCTCCCCTCTCCGCTGTTTCTCTTTCGTTCTATCCGTTTTATTGTCGTTCTTGTGTGGCGTTGCGGTCGGTCAGCACTTCTCAGGATTGATCTCGGTGTTTTTGCAGTGTTGCCGGATTGATTGCTTGGATTGGTTTTACAGTGCATTCTGAGCGAGCGGTGCGTTTAAGGTCTTCTTTTACAGTGGGATTTTCTGCTGATGGGGCTGCTCTGTTGGCGCACACAGATACACACAGACACACAAACACACACAGAGACGCACACAGAGATACAGAGAGACAGTCTGTTAAAACCAATCATTGTATTTCGAGTGTCAGAGGAAAAGATGCTCAAAGTAACTGTTCCTGAATGCACTCTCCTCTACACAGCAGGTTTAAAGAATCACTATGGAACTTTTCTAGGGGAGGGTCCATAGATATAGAATGGTAGATCTAGCGTTCAGCCTTGTGGCATGATAATACTGCTGCCATCTTGGTACTGGGCTTCAGTGGTCTAAGGTAAAGATTTTCACAGTATCAGCGAGCAAAGATGCTGGACTTATGTGCCGCATACAAAAAGACAAAAGAGCAAGGCAATAACATTTCATAGATTTTGTTTTGTAGGACTGTGATACTAAATGTTTTGTTTTGAACCCAGATTGAACTAGGACTGAACCAAGACTGAGATAGAGAGAGAGAGAGAGAGACAGAGAGAGAGAAAGAAGGAGCGAGAGACCTGAGCCCGTGGAGCAAGGTGTCCGCAAAATGAGATTGAGTGACGGCTGTGCTTAGCCCCGTGGAACTCTGCCCGCAGTCACCCGACTGTCTATGCGGGCACATCTCCAGGCCGTCCCGACACTCAGAAGCCTGGCCCGGGCTCCCCCCCTGCAATATAACTTAGCCAGAACCCAAAGTTATTTTTCAGAAAGCAAATGAGGTGTTCTGATAGGACATGCATATGCACCAAGGCTAATGCTGTTTCAGTATTTCATTTAGTTGAATTGTTGAACCTTTTAATAGTTTCTTAGGTCTATATCAGGCATGTCCAAACTATGGCCCGGAGGCCAAATGTGGCCCTCAGACAAATTTTTCTTGGCCCTCTGGCTTCCAGGTGAATTAGCCCAAATTACCTTGCATCAAGTTTTTTGAAAATCTACCTTGATAAAGCCAATATTTAATATTTAATGTGTGATTTTAAGGATCTTAGCATGAATAAAGACTGGTGGATTTATTGAATTAGTATTATTGTATAATTGTTACATTACACTATTCATTTCAAGTTAATATTGGTTGCGCTTATAGTGCTACTGGTCTGTGGGAAACACTGCTATCACCTTGTGCCTGATTGATGTTCATTCATTTAAAGCAGTGATACCCAGTACCAAGATGGTGGCTTTGCTGACACATTCGTTCCAATATTCAGCGGTAATCAATGCGAGATCTACTATTCTAAGCGTCTATCATCTACTTGTCTCCATGGAGACAAGTAGATGATAGCGGCTAAAATATTCTACAGGAAGGCATTGAACTAATCTATCTTGTATTTATTCAATTGCAGGTGTTTTTATTACTATAAAAGACCATGAAAAACATGTATTGTTTCTGTGAGCGGGGTCACCTCTCCACAGATCTGACATGTAACTTGGTGTGCTTGTTTGTATGTTGAGAGATAGGTTTAATGCCATACTGTGGAACATTCCAGGCAAAGTAATAACGTCTTCATGGAAACGTTCTTGTTTCTTATAATGAGTTTGTTATTCTGACCCTGCCCAATCCGTGTCGTCCCCACAGGAAGTCCAGTGTGGTTCTACATGCAAGTGGCTCCCATCAGAAACGAGAACGACAAAGTGGTTCTGTTCCTCTGCACCTTTAAAGACATCACCCTGTTCAAGCAGCCAATCGAGGACGAGAACACCAAAGGTAACAACTACTACTACTATTACTATAAGTACTGCTACTACTACTACAACTACTACTACTATTATTATAACTACTGCTACTACTGCTACTACTACTATTATTATAACTACTGCTACTACTATTACTATAAATACTACTACTACTACTACTACTACTACTACTACTATATAAGTACTACTACTACTACTACTATTACTACAAGTACTGCTACTATTACTACTATTACTACTACTACTGCTGCTACTGCTACTTCTACTGCAACTACTACTACTACTGCTACTGCTACTACTAATGCCACTACTACTACTACTACCACTCCTGGTTCTGCTACAACTACTGCTACTACTACTACTACTGCTAGTACTACTCCTACTGCTACTGCTATTACTACTACTGCTGCTGCTACTACTGCTACTGCTGCTAATATTACTACTACTTCTACTACCTACCGCTACTGTTGCTACTGCTACTACTGCAACATGCAGTACTGTATGCACTACTGTATTGATTTGATGAAAACAAGTGTTTTATTTGACAGTAAAAACACTCTTCTCGTGTACATAAAACTGCGTTTGAAGGTGAAGTGTCTTTATCAATCAGTGACACGTGCTGATGGCAGCACAGAGCAGTACTGCAGTAGCGTGTACTGTAGAGTTTTATAGTACATGAAGTTCAGCCTGTGGGTTTAAAGGACCTTTGACTGCTCCAAGTGACAATAATCTAACATCACAACATCTGGACGTGTTTGTATCACTCAACATCAGATGGACAGTGTGAAAGGAAATGTACTATTTACTTTTCATTGAGATTTAATGTTTGTGCACTTTGTTTTTACTGTTTTAAAAAGGTGAAAAACAGAAGTAGTTCATTGTAAACAGTTTGTAGTGCAAGTTCTTCCTCACTGGCCTTATGTTATTCACCACGATGAGTTTATAACTGAACATTTTTCACATATTTTGCCCAAATGTCAGATGCCCTCCCAGACATTGTGGTGTGTCAGATGCCCTCCCAGATGTAATCGTGTGTCACATGACCTCACAGATCTCACTGGAAGGAGGAGGACAGGGTTAAAGGTCAAACGTGGCCACAGGAGATTGTCTCGTGAGCGCTGGAATTTACGATACAAACACTAAATGCAACATGACACACCCTAAAGCGTTTTATTGTCTGATATTCAGGAAGGGCACATTTGAATTCTAGTTGGTGTTAGCATTACCATAATGCACCAAATATAAAGTCATCAGATGTTTGTCTCATGCACCACGGGATAAACAAGAAGAAAACTTGACCAATTCTGACCTGTTCTCCAGCTCATTTGAAACTATGATGAGTGACACAACACAAACATGACCCAGCAAATTCTAAATGAATGAACGAAGACATGAATAGATAAAAAGATAACTAGAGAGATAGTGTCTTGCATAAGGACACAAAAACAGAATAATAGAATACAGGAGCAGGGAGCTGGGCTTTGGTCCTTGTTTAAGCCTCAGGTCTCGAGTCGCTGAGCTGTGAGACTCTTTTATCGACCTGTCCTCTCATCCTCTCTCCTCATCCTCTTTATCCTCCTCCCCTTTTCCTCTCACCCCATCTCTCCCTTTCTTTATCCCTCTCTCTCCTTTCTCTTTCTCTCTCCCTTCTCTCTTTCTCCCTTGTCTACCACATCTACTCTTCTCTCTCCTATCCGACATTTTCCTCACTTGTGTCTTTTTCTCTCTCTTTCTCTCTCTTTACACTATTCCCTCTCTTTTCCTCTCTCTCCCTTCTTACCCCCTCTTGATCCCCCTATTCTCTCTCTCTCTCTCTCGCTCTCTGTCCCCATGCTCTCTTCTATATGCTCTTTCTTTCTTTCTTTTTCTTTCTCTCTCTCTCCCCTACTCTATTCCCTCACTCTTCTTCTTCTTCTTCTTCTTCTTCTTCTTCACTTTTCTCCCCTACCTTATTCCCCCCTCCCTTTTTTGCTCCTCTCCTCGACCTCTTCTCTTTCCTTCTCCCTCTCTCTCTCTCTCTCTCTCTTTCTCTCTCTCTTCCTCCCCCTTTCTCTCTCTTTCTCTCTTGTCTACCACATCTACCCCTCTCTCTCCTATTTGACATTTTTGTCTCTCTTTTTCTCTCTTTCTCCCTTCTCTCTCAATACTCTATTCCTTCTCTTCTCCTCTTTCTTTCTCCCTACCCCCTCTCTTCCTATTCTCTCTTCTCTCTCTCTTCCCATGCTCTCTTCTATATGCTCCTTCTTTCTTTCTCTCTCTCTCTCTTCTCTACTATATTCCCTCACTCTTCTTCTTCACTTCTCCCCTCTCCTTACTCCCCTCTCCCTTTCTCTCCTCTCCCTCTTCTCTCGCCCCACGTTTTCGTTTCTTCTCCTCTCTCTCTCTCTCTCTCTCTCTCTCCTCTCTGTCCCTTTCTCTCTCTTTCTCCCTCCTCTCTCCCCACACTATTCCCTCTCTTCTCCTCTGTGTCTCTTCCTGTCCCTCTCTCTCTCTCTTTCTCCTTCCTTACTCCCTCTTTCCCTATTCTCTGTTTCTTTCTCTCCCCCCATACTCTCTTCTATATGCTCTTTCTCCCTTTCTTTTTCACTTCTCTCCCCCTCCTCTCTCTCTCTCTCTCTCTTTCTCTCCTGTCCCCTCCCTCTCCCCCCTGAGGTCCTGGTGCATTATGGGTCGCGTATAGAGGGATATAAGTTTAAAATGGCCGTACGCTTCAGTGGAGGTGAACAGAGCTCCACTTCAGGCTCAGAACGCAGACAAAGACTGAGTCATGTCGTCTATATGGGAGCGTATGGAGGTCTATGGTCTTTTGTTAGTCTGTTTAGAAATTTCATCATATTCCTCATGGCATAAAATGTATGTGTCGGTATAGAAAATATAAGTATGGTTTTAACTTTCTGTTTCCATGTTCTCTTCACTTCCCTTACACGGCAAATTTCCCTGATCTGGCCAAGATTTTAAAACTTCTATCAGATTATTCATATTGTTTTCAGTTTTATCTACTTACTCGTTCTAAGCTGCTTCATTATTTTAAGAGAACTTGTCAAGTAAAATGATTTTGCTGCATGGACAGATCATTTCACTCCTTTTAAGTCATTTTCTGATCGATTTAAGTGTTTAAATCTCACATTTTGGTCAAGCTTTTTTCTTTGAATGCATTAAGAGCATTCTAATGATTCAACATGATGAGTAAAAAAATGCTTTTTTTTACAACGTTCAGCATTTCACTGTAATGCTGACAACAACTAACATGCTAACCGTGCACTTAGAGTACTGATTCTCAGACAATGAAATATGTAATTCGATGCAGACAGTACACAGTGGACTTGTTTCGATCTTTAGAGCTGCTTGTATCTGTACTCTGGTAAGTTGGGCTGTAACAGTACATGTATTTGTGCTGAACAGTTTTAGTACAGGATGTTCTGTTGGGTGCAGGGCTGTGCGCGAGTGAGTTTGTGCAGTTTGTGTGTTTACATTCGGCCACTACATGTGCAGCTACACAGAGGCTCAGATCTTTAATATTCACGAGAGAACTCATCTGTGATTGAGGCAGAGTGTCTCACAGCGCTTTATAGTTAGGACGGTCACCTTGACAACAATTGCCCCTCACCTTGACTATGTCCCTCGGAGCCACGGGAATCCTCGCAAAACTACTGTCGTTGCCTTTCGCTGACACAGAACAGCAAAAGTGTATTTACAGTCACTGGGGACGTTGTAACTGCAGCAGATCTGCACTTACTACAGACAAAGTGGACAAGTTGGTTTTTCAGGCCTAAAATATAAAGACTGAGTAAAACTTGTAAATAAAAGTAAAAGTAAAACTTTGTTTACTGTTTAAAAGGAATTTATTTTTATGATATTTCATACATTTGTTGCTTATTTGTACATATTTTTATTTAACTTATTAGTATTACCAAGCAGCACTTTTCATTTATTTTATTTTCCCATTTGTATAAATCAAAAAAAAAATAAAAAATGTTGGTTTAATAAACATAAATGGTTTTGCATTTTGTTCCATACTGTATCGAAAATGAACAGAACTGTGACCTCAAAACTGAGGTATGTACAGGAGTGTGATTTTTGTACTGTTACGCTCCTACTGGCAAGGCACATTTTGCTCAAATACATGGGGGAAAATAGAGTACTGGACCATTTAAGTTTGTAATTATACCTGGATTAGAACAGAACCAAACAAACCAGGTTTATAATTGTAAATACATGAAATTCATGTTGAGTTTTGTCCACTTTGCGATGTGTTCACCCACATTGCTTAATATGAAAGTGGAGCGTATGAGTGATGGTGGTGGTCGAAGGGACCAATGGCAGAGACCGTCAGCTGCGCTTCTGTCAGTCTGCCCCAGGGCAGCTGTGGCTACAGTAGTAACTTCCTTTCACCAGGTCTGAAGTGAATGAATAATGCTCTGTAAAGCGTCTTTGTGACATATGTCTGAGAAAAGCTCTATATAATATAAAAACTTACTTTTTAACAGAGATCTTTGTTAATGGTGCATTATGTAACTTTTTGGTTGGGGGTCCGTCACCTGCTTGTTTCCATGGATACATCATAATGCTGCTTGGAATGTTCCACAGTGTGACTTTAAACTTACATTTATCAAATTACAGGTGGTTAACTTGGTTTGGTCTGCATGAAGATAGAAACATTTAATTTAATGCCATACTGTGAAACATTCCAGATAAAGCAGTAACATTTCCATGAAGAAAAGCGTTTGATGGACCCATCACCAGAAAAGTTACACAATGCACCTTTAAACAGCCCCCCTGCTGAGTTGAGTTTGCACATACAGCGTTTCTATCACTGCTCTTGAACACATTTACCAGCCTTACATGTGTTTACCATCTGTGTGCAGTTAAAACTATGTTAACGTAAGCGAACCTGTCACCTCCACATGATACTATTACATAATCTCCTTTTGTTCATCTAAAGACTTCACTACGCAGCACTTTGAGAGGTAAATATGACAACAAAAGCTCCGATTGGGAAAGATAGTTCGCCTCCAGCAAATGGTTTAAACAGTACAGGAGAAAACGCACGGGCCAAAGCTAAAAATATCACACTTATATATAAAGAGAGACCAGGCTAAAACGAGAGGGAACACCAGAATACTATAATACAGATAGTTTTGGTTACTATGAGGTTCTATTTTTAGACACATTTTGGAACGTAATTATTTCAGATTACGGGGACCAAAAGAAATCCACGACAATGAAAAATAATGGGTTTATCAAATGAAATTGTCACCCTAAACAAAAACCCTAAAAATAATATGTTTCTTAAGATATTTTATGTTTTTTCTTTATCTTGTATTTGAATATTTCTTTTTCTGTATAATTTTTTCTCTTTTGGCTGGATGGAGTTTGAATCCTCTGTATATTTATTCTCTTTCTGAATAATACATATATTTCTTAGTTTTTTCCTTTCCAGGCTGAAGAAAGTTTGTTTGAGTCCTTTCTCTTTTGGGTTTCTTTTCTCTCCACTTTCTTTATTTTTTGTTTCTTGTATCTTATATTTTAAATGTGCATTGTGTTACTTTTCTGCTGGAGCATCTGTCAAATGTTTTTCTCCATGGAGATGTTGTTGCTTTGTCTGGAATGTTCCACAATACGGCATTAAACCTTTCTATCTTCATGGAGACCAAACCAGAACAAGTTACAGGTTAGATCTGTGGAGAGGCGAGCCTGCTCACAGTCAGTGTCTGTTTTTCTCTGTATTTTTAAACTGTAAAAGCACCTGTGATTGAACAAATCTAAGGTAGAGCTGTTTAATGTCATACTGTGGAACATTCCTGGTAGGGATGTCCCGATCACGGCTGAGGCCAAGGCCGAGTCCGAGTCATTTGATTTTGAGTATCTGCTGATACCGAGTTCCAATCCGATACTTCTATAAAACATTATGAAATGAACTACGAGCAAAGAATAAGATCCAGGATGTACGGAGGGATCAGATTGTATTGATTTTAATGTGTAGTATTTGGGCTGAACTTAGTGTGAAAAATGTCAAATCCCAGGCAACAGCGTCCGAACACGGCACGGCCCAAAAGTCCCTCTAGTACAGCAGGTGCTGGGACAGACAGTCGCTAACAGGACGTCCCTGAGTAAATCCCGCACGTCAGTTAAAAAAACAACAACAACAACAACAAACCTGTTGTGTGCTGTGTGTCCTGTGTGCTCTGTGTGTTATGTATGTATATTATTTATTCGACACCTGATCGGACCATAACGTCCAAGTCCGCAGTCAAGTGATTGGCACCGATTTCCAATCACGTGATCGGATCAGGACAACCAGGAATTTCCTGGTATGGAGGAATGACATATCCATAGAAAAAAGCAGGTGATGGGACCCCCAACCAAAAAGTTACATAGTGCACCTTTAATTCTACTTTATGAATATCTTTTGCTTTTTCCTTTATATCTGGTATTATAATTCTCTTTTCATCAATATTTTTGTTATTTTTGTTCCTTCTCCAGGCTGGACCAAGTTTGCCCGTCTGACCCGTGCTCTGACCACAAACAGGAACAGTCTGCAGCAGCTGGCGCCCCCTGTGGGCAAACATGAGTGCCACAAGCAGAGCCGACTCGCTGAGGTCAATACACTGTTATTAAGTCCAGTGACAATATGGCCACCATTTTCTAAAGTTTCTTATGCTCAGTTATGCTCAGGCAGAAATCATGCCACACGCCTCAAGTTGGAGCATTTATATTTGAGAGACGCTTGAAAGTCAATATTTTGAACAAACGCACCATGGACTGATGAACATTACAGACAATTAAACAGTAACATGGGAAACATGAATGAAGGTAGTGCCAGATTCCACATTACGTTAGACTGTTTGATTTGTACCCATAGGTACATTTGTTTTGCAGTTTTAAGAGACATTTCATTCATTCACATTATAGACAAATAAGCCTGTGTAAAAACATTTGAATATGTTACAATGCACCAGATTTTTTCCACAAATATTTCATCACGATAAATTTTAAATAAAAACCTATTAAAAAGACTTTGCAAGATGATGGAAATAAAACCATTTACATTTATTATTATTTTTAATACACTGACACATCACATAACATGGTCATTTTTTAAATCAAAACCCTGAAAACAATTGCCCTTTTTTGAAGACTACAATTCTCCATTTTCTGTGCAAAGGTGTAGTGCGGGCCCTGGTGCAGATATACTAGTAGCTGACACAGAAGACTGTGAAACAGGGCAGATTTCTACAAGATCAACAATCAAAGCATCAGACTCTTATTAATCTCTGCTAAAAGAAGTTATATTTTGTTCTGAATGTTTGTGAAATTTCTTCTCACAATAATCATCATTTGAATCATCCTGTTCCTCTTTATAACGTTTCCCTTCTCCTCTTCAGGTTCTCCAGCTGAACTCAGACATCCTGCCTCAGTACAAACAGGAGGCTCCAAAGACTCCTCCTCACATCATCCTTCACTACTGCACCTTTAAGACCACCTGGGACTGGGTGATCCTCATCCTCACCTTCTACACGGCCATCATGGTCCCATACAACGTGTCCTTCAAGACCAAGCAGAACAACGTGACCTGGCTGGTGCTGGACAGCGTGGTGGACGTCATCTTTCTGGTGGACATCGTATTAAACTTCCACACCACGTTCGTAGGACCTGGAGGAGAGGTGATCTCTGACCCAAAGCTCATCCGAATGAACTATCTGAAGACCTGGTTTGTGATCGACCTGCTGTCCTGTCTGCCCTATGACATCATCAACGCCTTTGAGAACGTCGATGAGGTGAGGGAACCTTTAACTCAACTTTAAAGCTGCACTGTGGAACTTTTCTGATCTGCCACCTGCTTGTCTCCATGGAGATTTGCTTTGCCTGGATTATTTTCAGTTGTTTATTGTGAATATATTTTCTTACATGCGATGAACATTTTTTGGTGATTTAAAGCCACAGTATGTAACTATTTTTTTTTAAAAAAGCATGTTTTTATTGCTCTGAAACACTCTGATTGTTTACTGCTTGTGTCCATGGGAATCTTGTTCCTTTAGCTATGATATTCCACAGTATGGCATCAAACTTATCTGTCTCCATGGAGAAAGTTCCAAAGTATGATTTTAACTTTTTATTTCCATGGAATCATGCAGGGCATGTGCCACCTCCAGAAAGACTGTACCTTTAAAAGTGAGTCACTGATAAAATGAAATGAAGTACAGGACAGTGTGAAGAGAGGAAAACTCCTTTCATACAACAAGGTCTTGCTCAATGACACAACAGTAAACTTTGCTACATTGGGATTTGACCCACCTTCCTCCCAGTTAAAACAGTGTTATAATGAGCAGTGGTTTAGTGCTGACGTCAGTAGCACTCAGAGACACTAAATATGTTTTAATTGGACTCTTGGAGACAAAGTGAATTATTTCATATTTAAAGCTAAACTTGTTTCACACCTCCCCCTGAGTTTAAATGGGCTAAAAACAACCACACACAAAACAAAACTTACAAATCTGCTACATTAATTGTTAGTCTCCATGGAGATGTTAATGCTTTGCCTGGAATGTTCCACATTAAACTAATCTCCAAGGAGACAAGGTGATGAGACACGTTAAGTGTGCACACTTTTTCAAGTTATTTTTGAGCACTGACAGCTGTCAGGATGTAAGAAATGCAAGATATGTGGGTTTAATGCCATACTGTGAAACATGCAAGACAAAGCATTAACATCTCCATGGAGAAAAGCAGCAGGACCCTTCATCAGCAAAGCTACATAGTGCACCTTTAAACATATCATTCATTCATTTACAGATGTTACAGATGTTTTGGTTTTTTTTTTCTCAAAAAAAAAAAAAAAAAGCAGCAGGGTCACCTCTCCACAGATCTGACCTGTAACTTTGTCTGGTGGCATCATCTGTTTGTCTTCATGGATATATATATATATATATATATATATATATATATATATATATATATATATATATATATATATATATATATATATATATATATATATATATATATATATATATATATATATATATATATATATATATATATATATATATATATATATATATATATATATATATATATATATATAATATCACGTTTATGAAAACAAACAGATGCCCACCATCACCAGAAAAAAATTACACAATGTACCTTTAAAATGAGCTCATCTATCAGCTTTAGTGTTATAGGTGCTTAGACACTGGCAGTGAAGAGGAGGAGACGGAGAGGCTGAGGAGGCTGTTGGTTTTGGTTTTAGAGGAGGAGGAGGAGAGTTTATTCTTATTGAGTTGCTTGAGGAGAAATGAAGTAATTTTATTTTTCTTGACATTTACAGGATGTGAAATCTTTATTCATAAAATCACATAATGCCAAGGTCCGTTTGAGACTGTAGCTCGATACTGGAGTCTGTCCTCAAGTATCGAACTACAGTTTCAAATATCAACACACTGAGAGTAAACAAAAGATTCAATTTCTTGTCAAGATAGTTTGTCAGTGAGGAGGTTGTGGGTTAGACTCCTGAACTCTCTGAGTGGAGCATTAAAAACGTATAACTAAAATGAAATCAAAATCAGGACTAAACTAGGACTAAACCAGGACTGAACTAGAACTAAAGAAGGACTAAACCAGGATTAAAGAAGGATGGAACCAGGACTTAACCAGGTCTAAACAAGGTCTATAAAAAGAACTGTACCAAGTCTAAACCAGGACTAAAACCAGGACTAAACCAAGACTAAACCAGCACTAAAACGAGGACTGAACCAAGACTAAACCGGGGTGAAAAAGAACTAAAACCAGGACTGAAACAAGTCTAAACCAGGACTAAAACCAGGACTGAACCAAGACTAAACCAGGACTAAAACAAGTCTAAACCAGGACTGAACCAAGTCTAAACCAGGACTAAAACCAGGACTGAACCAAGACTAAACCAGGACTAAAATAGGACTAAACCAGGACTAAACCAAGTCTAAACCAGGACTGAACCAAGTCTAAACCAGCACTAAAATTGGACTAAACCAAGTCTAAATCAGGACTAAAACCAGGACTAAACCAAGTCTAAACCAGCACTAAAATTGGACTAAACCAAGTCTAAATCAGGACTAAAACCAGGACTAAACCAAGTCTAAATTAGGACTAAAACCAGGACTAAACCAAGTCTAAACCAGGACTGAACCAAGTCTAAACCAGGACTAAAACTAGGACTGAAGCAAGACTAAACTAGGACTGAACCAGGACTAAACCAGGACTAAACCAGGACTGAACCAGGTCTAAACCAGGTCTAAACCAAATCTAAACCAGGTCTAAAGCAGAACTCTATTCGGGGTGAACCAGGACTACACCATGGCAGAAAAACAAACACCAAAGCAGGATTATTCCATTTGTGGGTTAGACTCCTGATCTTTGTGTGTGGATTGTGCATGTTCTCCCTGTGTTACTGTGGCAGAGTGGCTAGCCCGTCTCCTCCTCTCAGTTGGAGGTTGTGGGTTAGATTCCTGGCTCTCTTTGTTCCTTCTCTGTGTGAGTTTGAGGTTTTGGCAGCAAACTCAAAGTTTCTTTAAAAAGCTCCTGAACGTGTCACACTTCTCTCCTGTCTCTGAAACTGAAGAAACATACACTCCTACACAACTGTCCAAGAACCAGGACTAAACCAGGTCTAAACCAGGATTAAAACAGAACTAAAGAAGGACTAAACCAGGAAAAAACCAGGACTAAACCAGGATTTAAAAAGGACTGAACTAGGACTAATGAAGGACTAAACCAGGACTAAACCAGGACTAAACCGGCTCTGAACAAGGGTTGAACCGTTGCTGAGCCATGACTGAACCAGGACTAAAGAAGAACTGAACTAGGACTGAAATAGAACTAAACCGGGGCTGACTAAAGCAGGACTAAAACAAGATTAAACCAGGACTAAACCAAGACTGATCCAGGTCTAGACACAGTTTAAACCTGGTCCAAACCTG